CTGCTTGCTCCAGAGAGAGTTGCATTAGTTCATCAGATGGAAGTGCCCACACAGAGGCAGAAAGGCATCCAGGGAGAAATCTCTCTGGCTTTCATGTGCTTTGAAGCAGCAGGTGCAGTTAAACCTATTTCTTCCATCTTTGGCTAGTCCCCTCCAAAGACATTTTCTAAGCATCAAATGCCACTTTTATCTTTCCATTTTGAATGCAATCACCTAACTAGAAACAGTACTGGCCAAAATCCCTGGATTATCCACACAGAGAATGAAAAGGACATGTCCCCGATTAGACAACAGAGCAAAACACAACCCAGAGCTTGTCACGAGTAGCTACAGCCTAAAACATCTGCTGCCAGGGGTTTACATCAACCAAATCAATCTTAGGGTTTATAATCAAGTTCCTCATCACAAGCAATTCTTCCCTGCTCCCTCCACACAGACTCTCTTATCCAAAGGCCTGTCAGACACCCACTGCTGTGCTCCCACCCTGCTCTTCAGCTGGTTGTCAGCCTCCCTGTGAGAACTCACCCATGAAGGACGACGCTGGTGCATCGGGGGTTCGGCCATAGTGTGCCATCAGCTTGTGTTTGGTCTCCTGCTTTCTGTGCTTCTTGCCTACATAGTGCTGTTTTGCCATAAGGGGGTTGTTGAAAGTGGCATGGCAGAGGCTACAGAACTTGTCCGGGTCAGTAATGTCCTTGTTTTCTTCGTTAGAAGATGTGGTCGAGGTGGGGAGGGCAGGAGGGTTTTTCTGTGGGGGCACTGCTTCTGTGGGGGGAATCCAAGCTCTTGGTGAGTCACAAAACTCAGAGGTAAAAAACAATCACTTTGTTTCCACCAAACCCACATTACAGTGAGTAACTAAACCCCAAACCTAGATAATATAAGACATCTCAATAAAGTAATGATGTTCCTACCTCTTCCCTTAATGCTGAAGGATTGAAAGATGTGTGGCAAGTCAAGTCAAGGTAGGACAGGAAAACTTTCAGGGTTTAAAAAAATCCAACAGATTTGCATATTTCTCCTTAAAATAAGCATGCCTATATTCAAGAAACACTGGACATGCATGAGCTTCTACCTGCTGTTATCATCCCCCAGTTAGAACACAGGCACAAGCCCCTGCAGAGGAAAGGCAGAGGTTTTCTGGAAGTACTGTGCAGCTGCAGGAGTTGATCCTGAACAGAAGCCATGAGTCCTGTCTGAGAAATGCCACAAACAGGACTAGGTCTGCCACAGCTCTCATTCTAGGGAACCTTCTAGGATCCAGAGAGCTCCTCTCATGCCAAACCTGAAGGCACACACCAGACATGCAGCCCTTCCTGCAGGCTAGTCTCTTACCCAAAAGCAAAGGTTCCAAAGAACAGAAACATCCCACCCTGATCCCAGAGGTGCTTTGCTGTGCACACATACATCTTAGCAAAGCCATGAAGACACCCTGGGTCAGTTTCTGCCTGGAAAATCCCAGCTTGGAGCCAGCATAAGATGCCACCCACAGGTGCACTCAAAGGCTGTGTTTTCCCTCTGTCCTGACCAGCTGCAGCCCCTCAGGCTTATGGTTTCCACTACCTGACCAGGACAGAGGGCCTACCTCGCCACCCACCGGGGCTTTCTAGCTGTCACCAAAGGGGTGGGACACACAGGGAGCTGCACTGGGGCAGGCAGGGTCAGGACAAGCACATACTGATGCTCCCCAGCTGTACTTTCCTAGTCCCCAGCTATCTGCACCTCACAAGTCCCTGAACTTCAGAGACCACATGGTTGCAGCTGAGCAGCCCTGAGGAATTTCCCTATTGGAATTTCACGAGTCACATCAGTCCCTCTAAGCTTTGAGTGAGCATCACACCTTGTGACAGGCATTTCTACAGCTCAACATCACACCCCTGGTCTCTGCACACAGGGGTGGGTTCAGCACTGCTGCCAGCTGCATTTCCCCCAGAGAAAGTAGCATAGAAATCCACCTAACTGTTTGCCAACACCAGCACACAGAGCTTTCTGCCACTGCTGGGTTACTCTGCTTCACAGCAAAGAGCACACACCTCACAACAGCTCACTCTGGGCTGCAACAAACCTCTCCACAGCCACTCAGGACAAGCAAATGTGCTGCAGACACTCCTACCTTCCACTTTGGGTGCCTGCTGCTTCATGTTCTTGGCATGAGTCTTGCCCAGGTAGTGAGATGTTGCCACGGCTGGAGAGGAGAAGGTCATGTTGCAGATGGGACAGCACTTGTTCCTGTCCTCCCCATTGCTGCCTTCCTGCTTGCTGTCCTGTGCACACAGAAACACAGTGTGGCTGAGGCTGGGAGGGACCTCTGCAGGTCACCTTGTCCAGCCTCCTAGTTCTGAGGAGGAACACTATGGTTTGAGGGTCTGAGAAAAGGTTGTGAGGAGAAACACGATGTTTTGGGGGTCTGAGAAAAGTTATAAGGAGAAACATTACAGTTTGAGGATCTAACAAAAGGCTACGAGGAGAAACACTATGTTTTGGGGTGTCCAAAAAAAGGTAATCAGAGACATTTGGGTGTTAAGCTCCATTTTCTCCCCACTGGAGAGCGTTTTTGCACCAGATTACTGCTTTTAACCCCCTGTTAAACCCCTCCAGGCAGAGGGGCAGCCCTGGCCTGTCCGGGATAAGGACAAGGTTAGGTGTGTGGCTGCCAGAACTGGCCCAGGCAGCCTTATTCCCTGCGAGGTGTGAACTGAGCAGCACAAACGTGGCTATCAGCTGGGCCATCTGCAACACGATGCCACAGCAGAGCAGGGAGCAGCAGGCTCAGCCTCCTCCAGTTCTCACCCTCACACTATGTGCAAAGGCATCTGCCCTTATCCCCCACCTCCCCGCAAATGCTGGAGTTAGGGATTACAGCTGGAGCAATCATAAGAGCAGAATCAGTTTTCCAAGGGAGTCACAGATGGCTGAGTGGAACTTTACTGACCAACAGGCTCCAGCTACTGCCTGAGGAAACCTGAATGAGTAAAACAAAGATTGCTCTGGGAAGAGAATTCCAGGAGACGGGTCAACCCAACATGCTCTGTCTGATGTAACTCAATGATAACCTGACAAGCTGCTGCTCCTAGTTTATCTCTATCATTTACAGCAAGAGGCAACATGAATCTGCTTAAATGGGGAAGAAACACTCTGAGAGGCTGTTTGAGTGATGAAGGCAGCAGGAACTGGGACATGGCCTGGTGGAACACTTGTCACTGAGCCTTCAGTTCTCACAATTCCCCTTCCAAGAGCCTTTTCTCCATTCATTCACAAGGCTGTACAACAGGTCCTGCTTGGTGGGATTTAGCCCTGAAAGGTTCTTCACTCACAACACGGGTCAGGTTGGAAGGGACCACGGTAGGTCACCTGGTCCAACATCCCTGGTCATGCAGGGTCATCCCAGAGCACATGGCACAGGACTGTGTCCAGATGGTTCTGGAGTATCTCCAGTGAGGAGACTCCACACTCTCTCTGGGCAACCTATTCCTGTTGGTCACTTGCCCAGTGAAGAAATTCTTCCTCATGTTCAGGTGGGACTTCTGTGCATGTTTCTGACCACTGCCTCTTATCTACTGCTCAGGTCCACAGAGCAGAGCCTGATGCATCCTCTGACACCTCCCTTTGGATCCTGACAGACATGGATGAGGTCCCCCTCACCTGCTTTGCCTCCAGCTTTATCTTCTTCCCGTGGGCAGTCTCCTCCCCACCATGGATGGACAGGTACCTCCTCACCTTGTTGGCATGTTTCTTGCTCTGGGAAAAGCAGAGAAACCCCAGTCAGTGCTATTCCCAGTGGTGTTCTCTCCCCAATTACTTGACAGGGGGTTGTAGAGAGGTGGGGGAATGGTCTCTCCTGCAGTGAAAGGACTAGAGGGAATGGTCATGAGCTCAGACAGGGGAGATTCAGACTGGATAGTATTAGGACATTTTTCACTGTTAAGGTGTTCAAGCACTGGAATAGGGAATTGCTCAGGGTGGTGGTGGAGTCACCATTCCTGGGTTGTATAAGAGGCATCTAGACCTTCAGGGCGATTCCCCGTGGTGTTCTCTCCCCAATTACTTGACAGGGGGTTGTAGAGAGGTGGGGGAATGGTCTCTCCTGCAGTGAAAGGACTAGAGGGAATGGTCATGAGCTCAGACAGGGGAGATTCAGACTGGATAGTATTAGGACATTTTTCACTGTTAAGGTGTTCAAGCACTGGAATAGGGAATTGCTCAGGGTGGTGGTGGAGTCACCATTCCTGGGGTGTATAAGAGGCATCTAGACCCGGTGCTAAGGGGATATGGTTTAGGGCTTGTAATGGTTGCACTTGATCTCTTCCGACCCTGATCATTCAATGTATACGGGTGGGCTTGGGGCGGGGGCAACACCTCCTCATTCCCTACCTGATAATGCGC